ATACATTTTAATCCACCCGGTTCTTCAGTAGGAGCGGTTCGTGTAGTTGTTCTATGGGTTAATCAGTACAGGTAGATTTATTTTTGATTCAGGTATTCAGTCACGCTTTGTCTTCTCAAGACCGTTTAACTGGACTCCACAGTGCTAATGAGTAACGTTAATAGCATCTATCAATAAAAATCTCACAGGCTACTTTAAACATTGGTATCTGCTGAAATGGGATTTCGATGGAAATAATTCTGTAGCTACAGCTGGGTCATACTGATAGCAGTGTTTATTATGTGTATGGTAGGTGTTACCCCTTAAGCCCAACAAAAAAGTCTGTTTGCATGTTTGTGTAGAGTTTTCCAAAAATTGTCACCACTATGACAAACAAAGCATAGAACAGGTTCTGTATGCTGGTCTATCAGAAAGAAAGCAGAAGAGATTCCACTTTCATCGTAAAGTAGTGATTCCAAATAATTCTTTGAAGATTGCCACAATAGCTGAGTGTAAGCTGTCCTGTTGAGCAGTTCCTAGGATAAAGAAACTTAGAATGTATGTTTAGTTTCAAGTAGTTCACAAAATAAGATCTGTTGTTAACATGTTAATTTAGCTTTGTTTGCTACTGCGACGAATGGTCTGTCTGTTCAGTGGTGATGTGGGAGCTGGGGAAGGGGGTGACTAAAACAGAGGAGGTTTTGTTCCACATAGAATTTTAGGTAAGTATTCTATTGATCTTCAACTCATATACCTCTTACTGAAGAGCATTTTATGCTACGTTAGTCTGATAAATTGTGTATATAGACAAATTGTTCCTTTCAAATACCTGATTAACAAAGCTCAGTACTTACCAGTGTATCATGAGAAAAGTAAATTATATATAATGCCTCTGTAACTATGTAGAGAGTAACGAAACATGTATAATCCAAATGCAGAGTTTTTTTTATATGGCCTTGAATAAGGAAAGCTTGAAAGAATGTTAATAAACATGTTTTCCACTTTAAGTATCAAAAGGAATTTATTTAACTCTCACATTACTTAAATTCATCCTGTGTTTGCCTGTCCTTACTGGTGTGTACAGTTGAAGTATTTTTAGAGATCTGTAACGTGCAGTTGTGAGCATCCTTAGTAACATTAACCTGCACTGTACCGTGTATCACAGCACAGAGCTGTGTGCTGACAACACACCAGCAGTGGGACTAGGCTGCAATGAAAGCCTGAATGTTTGCTCATTTAGTTTGAGAAGCTTGAGTCAGTCCAGGTCTGTATGCACAACCTGGGGGAGAAGGAAGACCAGAACACTGCTGATATTTTCTCCTGCTGGTCACGCTGACACCTTTACAGCCAAAGTGTGTTCTGGAGGTCAGAAAGCACCAAATCCTAGGCTGAGGAGATGACGGGTGAGATGCTTCCCTTTACTGTTGCTGATCTAATAGCTTGGCTACGTGCCTTCCTTCCTTAAGCCTAGCAATGGAAATTGATTCACAAGGACTGGTAAAGAGCAGAGAAAGTTTATTTTTCAGAATGATGCACAGCAAAAGGATAATAATGGAAAAAAGGTGGCTCTTCAGACCACTGCCACTAGCAGTTTATCCGTGGGTTAAAGACAAACTGTGTTGCAGTGTAAGATGCTGCTTTGTCTTGCATGTGTCTCTGGTCAAATATCAAAGCTGACTTCTGAACATTTTTTGTGCTGAAAGATGTCTCTTAAAGTTTCTGCTGTTGATATGTAATGATTGCATGTGTTTACTCAGAACCTGACAGTTCTGCATCTCTTCAACACAAGTAAACTCGGTAATGTGTACCATTACCCTGGTAATGGTTATACCAGCTATAACCTGGTAACCCTGGTTATAGTATTTGCTGTGATGACAAAAAGTAAAAGAAGAATCGGTTTTACCTGCTGCTCTCCCTTCTATACAGAGAAAATGCATGCAGCAGGTAGTAATGTTTCTAAACTGTCCCATTTCCTAATGGTATTCATGAAATTTAGTTTCAGCAGGCGTTGGTAGTAAAAGTTCTAATGATACCCTTCAGCCCCTACCTTGCACCACAGATAGTTTGTCTGTTGGCAGTGAGAAAGTAAATGAAAAGAATAGCACTTCCTTACTTTGGAAGTGATACTTTGGAAGTTTGAGGATCTCTGCATTTCTAAGAAGAATCTATGAATTTCACTAAAACATGCTGGATAAATCTGTCTAGAAAGGTGGGGCCTGTCCAAACCTAATGGAAAAGATAAGTACAGATTTGTCTTTGGACTGTGACCTACCCCATTATCAACATGAAGCAGCACTGCTTTCTCACCACGTGCCACGAACAGCTGACCCCCAGTTGTTGGAGATGTTTTCCTTACGTGAAGCCCATCCATCAAGTTCAGCCTCTAGCTGTCCTCTGCATAGCAATGTGGTGCTTTAAAGAAGTTCATTCTTGGTCACCTGTTCAAAAAAAGAATCTAGCAAGCAGCTTATAACTGATGTCTGAAGCTAAAATATTTAGTGGGCCCTTTGAAGCATTTAATCTGTATAAAACAGCGCAGTATCAACAGTTATCACAAGGTAGTTGTACTGTGACTGCTATTAATGTCTTCCTTTAAGTCTGCACCTAACTTTGCACTGTGTAACATAAAGAAACTTCTGAAAAAGAGACAAAGGAGGAGGACAGGAATTAAGGCTTTTCCCTGATTGGGAAGATAAATGCTCCCTGTTGGAGATGGGAAAGTATGGTAAAAAGTGGCTGGGGGAAAGTCTCAAGTGTCTTCAACAGGTCTCAAGGAATGGAGAAAGGATGGAGATAGCAGAACCCAATCCCTGCACTACCAGTAAACGACAGTGTGGCAGAGTGCCTGGGCAGCCTCTGAATGAACAGTAATGATGGCTCAGCATCACACGTAAAAACACCAAAATACTAAAAAAGAAAAGCAATTCCTTCTGCGGTTCAGAATAGTTGGATGTTTATATTCTGAACTCTACCAGAATTTGAAATAAATATGAATCTATTCTTGAATCTATTAATCTTAGAATTACGATGAGTGGCTAAGTCTGAGTGGGTTGTATAATTAAAACCTGTCTGTGAATGATTGGGGCACAGAAAGTGAGCACACTGACATTTATCTTCCTAAGTGTATTTCATGTAAAGTAAGAGACTGAAATTCCAGGCTGTTCTGGTCAAGCTTTGTAAAGCCCTGATGTTCTGCACATAAATTCAGCTCTCCGTTGCCTGTGTGGGGTGCACTGGCAGAGGCACAAGGAAGCGGGGAAAGAGGAAGAAGCTGTGAGGAGTTGAGGCAGTAGGAATTACCTGAGTCTGAAGGGACTGAACCACTGCAGAACTACCCTTTAAAAAAAAAAAAAAAAGCCCCAAAACCTTTACAGCAATTCTGCTTCTCTGGGTGGATTTAAGTTTAAAAAATTGTGCATACTAATCTGTTTTTGAAAACATAATTCTAACCTAAGTTCTGTTCTCGTATTCAAGCCTTGAAGAACAACATGTCAAAGCTATCGAAGGGAAAAAAAAAAAAGAGGAGGTTGTGCTTAGCTGCCCTATGGCCAGGAGCTGCTGACGTAAGGAAAGATGCAGTGCTGCTAAAGCATGTGGACAATCCCTTTGTATAAAATGACAGGTGCTGTAAAACCAGTGATGTCTGAGAGCGTCACTGGGCAGTGGCAGAGCCAGAACCTGCTGAGGGCAGCTGTCCACGACTTCAGTTTCTAAAAAACAGTGACCAGCACGAACTAAAAGGAACAGTTCACAAGCACAAAAAACTGTCACCATTTCTGAATCCTTTAACTAAATCCTGAATGGTGGATTGGGAGAGTGCGTGTGCGCATCACAGGCGGTCACCTCTGAACGGGCATTGAGTTACAGCACAGGAGCGGGCAGGCTGCACCCTGAGCAGTGTAATGCTGCTAATCGCCGCCAGAAGGGCAGGAGGTGCACAGCACTGCGTGTGACTTCATTGTGCCAACAGAATGGGAATCAGTTGCTTGGAGCTTTGTAACGTCTAAGACAAGCGTTCTATGCGTCCCAGTAACGTTCTGCAAGGAAAAATAGAAATGCAGTTTCTCACCTGGATCACAATTCAGCATTCCAACTTTCAGCACCAAAAACTTTAAGCTCTTCTAAAATTGTGTGTTAATCTGGAAATAGTTAAATATGAAGGAGTAATGTTTGCTGAGCATTCAGGCTACTTGAGCAATGTATTTCAGGTGGATCTTCCCGAGTTATGTGCACTGTACCATTCTGCCGTGGGAAACAAACAACTGCGTTTGAAAACATCATTTGAGCAACATCTCACTGGGAAACAGTAATGGGAACACAAAGCCACGTGGAGCTGTGCTGCTGGGAAGGGCAGGAAGAAACAGTGCTGGACGGGGGGTCAGAGCGCACTGCTGCTGCCACTGAGGTGCCATCACTGTGAATTCCAGCTACAGCCTCATCACAGAAAAACATAGGAATTAAAAATCCTGCAGTCTGAACGTGAGTGCAGTTTTGAATTTTGTTAGGGTAACGTTTAGAATCAGAGCAAAACAGATTCCCACGTTAACAGTCTTATTAAGGAAGCAGTTTTGCATCCTTTGCACTAGAAACTCCCACATCCAGTTGTTACTCGGGAGCTTGTTCTGGTCCATTGTAACTTCAGCACTTCAAGCAGAAGGTACAGTTCGGCCTTTAAGCAACTCAGGTTGCCCCACCAACCAGGTGGTGTGGCAGAGGTCCCCTGTAGCTTTAGTGTTAGGGATTATGCATGCGTATGGCAGAGGAACCACTGCAGCACAGGTGGGAATCCCCTCCTGCTCAAGTCTGATAAACTCATTTCCCTAATTCAGACATAGCCTAACGCCTGCCCGTCCTCCTGTGAAGGCCTGGCATTTTGTACTTTAGCTGTTCCACCGTCACCGTGTTACACGGCTGACAACTGAACTTAGATTTAGCACTGGAGTACTCAGCCATAGAAGGAAGAAGGGCCTCAGAAGGGGGGTGTGGGAGGTGGGGAGTGGAAAAAATTACCAATAGCCTAATTTTGTTTGGTTGGAATAAATTTATTTCATCTGTCTGTAAACAAGGTGTTTTTAATAGTTATGGCATTTTTTGAAATGCATATTAATTCAGATGAGTTAGACTGTATCCCAGATGTAACAAAGTGCAGGGAAAGAAATGGACAAATCAGCAACAAGAATTTGTTTAAATCTGTACATTATCCACAAGGCCCAACAACAGAAGCAAATACTAGAATGTCCCTAAAGTAGTGCCATTCAAAAGAAACCCTCGTACTCAGTTAAAATCCATCTCACAATAGCAACAGTTCAATTTTTTTTTAAACAATAAGTATGGCACAGAATACATATTAAAAAAATTCATCACAAGACAGCCAAGTCAGTTATTCCAACCAATACCATCTCCCATTTATTCTTTGTATACAGAGTTCTGTAGTTCTTTTTAATGGACATACAAGTTAGTACTGTGCCTGCGGGGATCGTTTGGTTACACACACGTCAGACGGGCGCACGAGGCAGTTCACGCCGTGATTTGTGCAGCAAGGGTGTGACAGGCCAAATGAGAGCTTTAAATTTGAAATGGCATCATTTTGACAGGTTAGCTTTCAGACCACCAGCCTTCATCCAGACAGCGGCTTTGGAGCAGCGAGACTGCAGCCAGCAAGTGATCTGGCAGAAGGACCGGAGTCGGTCAGCGCTCCCCCAGCAGCTGAAGGCAGCAGTTCTCCACAATGACACTGCAGTTTCGTATAAAAACAGAACCACCCAACCCACAACCCCAAGCTGCAAATTAAAATTGGTCCTATGAAAAACTGAAACCAGACACGCTCCAGATGGTTATGTTGGGATATCTGATGTCCATAATGGCAGCCTTTTATAGTTCAACTACAGAACAGGAGCTGGCAGAAAAAAAAAAAGTGCCTGAGCTATTGCAATGATGGAATGTCCCCGGGGAGTCACTTGGGATGGTGGCTGTGAGATCATGGGAGGAAGTGCATCTGTACCCTTTGATAGCTTTGTGATTGCACTTAATGAGCAGTACAAGCTTCAGACGTGAAGAAGAAATGAAAGACAAGCCTACAGCAAAGTGCAACAACAAAACTAATTTAACATTAATAGCTTCTGAGTGGCAAATTGGTTAAACAAACCAGGCACTATAAAATAGGTGTAAGCAAACGTGGATTAAAAAACAAAACGAAAAAACACCACGAGAAGAACAGAAGATATGCATGCACTGTTTCCTCCCAAACATGCTCTGTGAAAGGAAGACTCGTGAGCTGTGTAATTGCTCAAAGTGCTGAAGAGGCATTGATCAAATCAGATTGTACAGTCGGCACCTTGTTTAGTGTTCACGAAGTTGTTTTAGCTCTCAGCACACACCAATTGCTGAGACAAAGCAAAGCCTACGCTTGGCGTATTCCCTCCCAAGAGTTTTTCAGGTATCATGCATATCGTCTTTGTGGTGCAGCGGTGGTGCCAGATATGGACTCAGTTACACACAGCGGTTAACATACAAATGAACGAAGGGTAACCGGAATTACAACATTAGAAAATGGGTAAATAAAAAACACAAACTACCATCTACAGTCTGGTAGCACTGAGCACAATTGAGTGGTGATGAAGACAGCTGCTAGGTGGATGGGGAGAGGCTGCTCAGACGTCAGACCTCCTCAGGTATAAAGCCAGTTCATATGCTTTCTTGTTGAGTGTCCCTCCATGGACACCTTCCTTTCCCATGACTATAACCAATGCTGGAGTACACAAGGAAACAAAACAGAAATGAACAGAATTAAAGAAAAAAAACAAAAACAAAACACCTTTCCCCACCAACAAAGGGATACAAAGGAGACACAGGTTCATACCCCATCACCCTGCATTGCTAATAAAGTTTCCAGAATGTAAGGTTTAAAGCTCACCACCAGGAAAGTTTAATAGCAATCTTCCCCTAATACTTAACAGTCTGCCTAGCAACTAGAACCCAGAGTCTCTCAAGTATTTTGCCATTGAGTATGCCTTCTTATTCAATCCGCCTCCATGGACCCCTTCTTTGCCCATTACAAAGACCAAGACTGAAAGAGAAAAGAAAAAAAAGTTTTAAAAAGAGTGTGTTAGACAAGGAAATAACGCAAGTTTTAGGCAGTGCAATAAACACACTCAAATTCAAGATTTAGTATCTGGGTATTAAGCTAGCAGTCTGGTAAAAACACAGGTGTAGGCGGGACTAGGAGAAAGCATGCACAGCTTTCCAGGTACATCACAGAAATTCACTGCTTAAGAAAGGAGTGCCATCCACTGTCTCAATAAAGCACTGCAGTGCCTTTCCACCATCAGCACCATCCGTCCTCACCCAGGAAACCCTGGTGACATCTTAAACAGCGAGAGGGGAAAAAAAAGCCCCATCAGGAACAAAAGCAGCGGCGTGGGTAGGAGAGCTGCAACACTGAGAGCAGAGGAGGGAACGCAGTTATCTGCAGTGGCTGCTGCTGGTCAGCCTCAGAAGTACAACTACCCCAACGCCAGCAAAATAGGCCCGTGGTCAGACTTGGACAGTCTTGTTAGGCAGAAGCAGTAGCGTGTGCTTAACGTTTCTCATAAGACAAAGTGCAGGGAGGACTTTAACGCTGACCCCCCCTCTCATCGCTGCGCTGTGGCGATGAAGTGCCCCAATTGTCTTGCAAACAACGTGGTGAGGCCCTCCAGCAGGATACACCGCTTGCCAGCAGAGGTCACTGGCAGGCACACGGACACAGCCGGCACTGCGCTTTCACAAGCACGGTAATTGTTTCCCAAGTTAGACCCTGTGCAGTTGGAAACGCTGCAGTCAGCCTACCTACAGGTGACTGTATATCCCCACAGCAATTTTCTCACAAAAGGTCTAAAACAGACCTCACTGTCCTTTCACTATTTGCAGTAAGGAGTCAGAACTTTGCTTGGTTTATTAAGTGCTGCAAACACCGTTCCTGCATCATTACCTCCCAGCTTTAGCTTCTAAATAGAAAACTCAAGCAAAATTTGTCTGTATGTCACCAATCTGTTCTACAGCTAGCCAAAACCACCATGCTGGGTGTTCTGAACACAATGCATACTACTCGTAGCAATACTTCGAGGCACATTTTTCATATTTGAGCCTGGTGCCTTTCCAAAAACATGTGTTACTGGATGTTAGAGGAGGACCACAAGGAGCAGGCGAACTAGCATAAGGCAGGTTTCTCCATGATACCACCCCAGACAAGCTTTTCTGCCTGAAGACAGGCTCCAGAGAGCTCAAGAGGAAGTGCGAGTCAGCGCAGCACTTGTTAAACAGTGAGCAGAAGGAGCTCAAACAAGAGACCCACATCTTTGCAGAACAAACTTTCTGATGAGACATTTACCATGACAACACTTGTTTGACTATAAGTCATTAATATATCCCTGTGGTAACCCACTACAAGCTCTGGATACCACATAGGGAAACACTTTCCAAGTATACTTGAGCAACAGCCTGGTTCTGCTCGTCAGAAGGCATTTCAGCCACTGCCCAGCTGGGATCGTGTATGGGCAACACTGAAACAAGTGTTTATTCCCAGGCAAAAATGCAGTTCATCAGCCAGCCTGCTGCCACCCCCCACCCGGTTAGCCATTAACCACAAGAGTTTGGGGTTCTTAATAGCCAGGGCCTACGTTTAGGGTCACGTTCTCAACTGAGCCACCCGAGTGATGAAAGCTCCCTTACCTCGACCAGCTCTGCCCACAGCCACATTGTACGTCGGCTCCCCGCCTTGGCTCTTCGTCCGGATGTCCATCGTGCAGTCCCCGTCCACGTAGAGGCTGTCTCTGATCACAGAGCACTTCTTTGCCCCGAGGGTCAGGCCATTGGTGAAGAAACCCTCCCGGTCCTTCCCTACAATCATATCTATTTCTACTGGCTGCCAAAGGAAAAAGCCAGGAGTCAGCACCGCGTTACTCTGCGGCTCCGATCCGTTATAACCGCTCCCCCCCTCCGGCCGAAGGGACTGACGGCACATTTCCCCCCCGCTCCCATCGGACACGGCGCTTTGTTGTGAACAGTTCACGCAGCAGCGCTTTGTCGCCGCTCGAAGCAGCGCATCGCCGCTCCCCGGCAATCCCCGCATCGCCAGGACACCGGGGCTCATTAACGCACGCGCTGCACGACCGAAATTAACGAGCCACGTGACGCGTTGCGGCGCCTCAATGAGTCACCGCGGCCCGGCCGCCCCGCGCCCTTCTGCGGGCACCTCGCGGCCCCGGCGGGCGCGCGAAGCGGGGATCGGGGCCCGGCCGCCCAAAGTGCCGAGTC